CTCCTCTGCTATTGGCGTCCATATTTATGAAGATAGATTCCACTTGTGGAATTCATAGATTAAAGGCAACAAAAAAGTATAAAATATCTTTATTATGATAAATACAAAAGTACTGGCGGACTTTAAAACGGCACACCCATGACGATACTTATTACAGGCCTTCCCGTCGCGAATCCGTATTTTTGACTGGGGACGGACAATCTTACGGAAAGATATATTTTAGTTTTTTTTAAGTTCGATTTGTGAGTAATTGATTTTTACAATAAATGGTTAAAAAGGTGCTGTTTTCCTGAATGTAGAGGAAACTATGAAGCTAAAAATAAAGTACGAGTTTTGAGGCGTCCCTCCAATAGAAAAAGAAAGAAATTGTTGGATAAATTCAATTTCTAGAAGTAATTTTCCAAATAAACCAGATACTGTTGTCTGTGAAAGACATTTTCCAGAAAATTTTTTAACAACTGTTTAAAAATTATTGTTTGCTTTTTTCACCCAAGTCCAATAAAGAACCTGCATTGAAAGTTTTAAAGTTATCTTTATAACATTAAAAAATTATTATGTACATTTTTTTATAACATTACTGATGTATATTTTGATATTTTTTTCTTTTTAATTGATGTATATTATGTTTTTTTCTTTTTTTTTTTTTTGCATTATTTTAAATTTTGTTCATTTTTTTGTGATTTAGATTTTAAATAATTACAACTCATTATTCTGAAAAATATTGTATTTTATTCTTTTTTTCAAAATGTTTTTTTTTTAATTTGTTGATTCTTAATAAACACTGCAATTGACATTTTTTGCATTAATACATTACTTTTAAAATTTAGTAAACTAAAAATAATGGATTAGTTTGCAAACTTTTCTAGCCATTTTTTATATTTTCCGTAACTTTGTCCGCCCCCAGTCAAAAATAGGGATTCGCGACGGGAAGGCCTGTAATAAGTATCGCCCCAAACTCGGTAAACAACGAAAATTTTCGTTACGAAAATAAAAAGTCGATTTTCATCACTTAAGCACGTTTTCAGCTTTTAAGTTCACTTCAGTCCACAACAACTTCAAGCAAAACTACTTTTTTGGCAGAATTTATTGAAAGCATTAAAGAAAAAAGGCTAATAAATTTTCTCTATCAAAACAGACTAACCCATGTTCGCAAATCTTGTATCTGTGGTCAGCAAATGACTATTCAAGGATTTGAGCGGTGTCTAGTAAGTAAATATCATATTTAATCATATGATGTTTTATGGTATTATATAATAAGGTCCTTATAAAAGAAAGTAATAACTTAAATAAAACTTTAGCTTGTTTACATTTTAAATACTAATTTGATTAGACTTGGCTTATATTAAATATCAAATGAGTTATTATGTTATTATGAAATCAAATGAGTTATTATGTTATTATGATTATGATTATGAATTATTATGATTATAAGTTATTATTATTATGTTACCAAATGAGTTATTATATTGTTATGAGTTATTATTCCTTATTAAGGATTAAATTACTTTCCTAAAATCTAATCCTGTTAAATTGGATTTTTTTTAAATTTTTTCTGATGCTTTTTTTCTTTAAGGATAAACACATTTGGCGATGCAGCAGCTGTAAGAAGACAAAGACACAAGACGAAGACACGAAGTGGTTTTTTTGAATGTTCAACATCTTTAAGTGTAAGTGATCTTTAAGTGTAAGTGTAACATCTTTAAGTGTAAGTGTAAGTACTTAAACTTTTGTTGTTATGGGTTTCAGAGGTCCCTGCAACTGCTACTGAATTAGTAGGGATAAGCCAACCAACCAGCTCAATGGTATCAGTATTTCACAGACATCTGCTCATTCAAAGTTTTAGATATTGCAACTGTAAACCAGCTGGGAGGTCCAGGACACATAGTTCAAATTAATGAATCCTTATTTTTCAAACGCAAGTATAATGTGGGTCACAACGTTGAAAAGTATTGGATTTTCAGGGCTTATGATACAACAAATAAAAAAGGGTATTTGATTAGGGTAGAGGATTGCACTGCAAATACATTAGTACCTTTGTTTCAAACTTGGATTGCTCCTGGTTCAACTATACAATCAGATGAATGGCCTTCGTACAATAATTTAAGCAACTTAGGCTATATTCATTCAACTGCTAACCATACCACAAACTTTGTTGACACTGAAACAGGGACAACAATAAACCACATTGAGTCCTTTGGGTATAGGATGAAGTTTAAACTAAAGTTTGTTTTTGGTTATCAAGGTGATATATAATGGTCTAGGTTCGATGTATATAGGGAATATTATGAATTTAAAAATAAAGATGGCCAAATTTCAATATGTTCCTGGGTCATATTCACGATAAGTATCCTCTTTAAATTAAACATTAATATTTTAATTCTATTTTAATTTATGAATTTATTTTATGAATTTTTAGAGCAAATACTCGAATTTTCTCAAATGATCACATACTGTGTTACACTGATAACAAGAACACATACTTATGATGAGAAGAATATACATAGAGGAAAAGCTTAAAACGATGAGTTTAAGAAAAAAAGACATTTGAAAATTGAAAGATAGGGAAGATTTTAAATTAAAAAAAGTTAATGAAAGAAAAGTAAACTGAAGAATATTAGAACATTTACTTTGAAAAGCAATAATATATTGTAATTATTTATTTGAAATTTAAAAATGTTAACACCTATACATAAATTTTTTTTGTAAATTTTTAGCTTATTACAAAACATTTTTTAAGTAAGCTTTTGTAAAATAGTAAAACCTTACTTAAAATAACAAAGCCTTAAAAAAAACTTCTACTTATTTTAATTCTAATATCAGTAGTATAGGTGTAAATGTTTTAGTTTTATAATTTTAAATGTTTATATATGGTTTGTAAGTATTTAAATTAAAGTTTTAAATTTTAAAAATGGTTTTAGAAAGTTTGTTTTTTTTCTTTCGATGAAGCCATTTTGTCACTTGTCCTAACAGCGCTATTTTGCCATTCTGTAAAATACTCAGTATTTTTACCGAGAATTTTCGTAACGAAAGCTTTCGTTGTTTACCGAGTTTGGGGTGCGCCGTTTTATTTTCTAATCTATTTGACGCAAAAACTCTACCAATCATTTATTTTTAATTCAATTGATTAACTTTAGATTTGTTTTTGCTTTTTGATTAATTTTTGATTTGTTTTGGCACTTAAGTGTGTAAATATCAACATTATATTTTCCGCAATATTAATATTATATCAATAATATATTAGACAATATATTATCTGGGAATTTTCAAATTAGCTATTTCCTATCAAAATGAGGTATTTTAGGTTCACGTGATATTTTTTGGGTTAGGGGTTGTCCAATAATTACGTCAACAAAATAAGGGGGGGTCTGAACTTTTTTGACAAGGGGGGAGGTCAATTAAAGTTGATGTCAGCATTTTTTTTTTATTTGAGTTTCATTGCTTAAATAAAGGAGCGGTTAAACCCTGATAATCGGATGACAAAAGTAATAATTAAAAACAATGTTTGAGTATACACCGCGTATATCTTTCTAAATGGATAATTTACGGTTGTTTACAAACACGTTTAAACGCTATTTAAAAATTTTTTAAATTCTTGAAGTTCTTTGAATTATTATTTTTCTCTTTAAAATTATTTTATTATTTTTACAATGTTTTGTAAAATGTTGTACATTTCAGATTAAATAATCAACATGCAACAAAACTGTAAAAAAAATAGACGTAAAGGTGAGTTTCTACTCATCCGTTTTCAACGGAACGGGATAGGGAAGGAAAAAATTTTCACGTAAGCATGCGTAGTTTTCCTTTAGACATATTAAAAATTTTACTACGCATGCCCACGTGATTATTTTTCCCGTTCCTTTCCCGCTCCCGTGAAAAAACGGATGAGTGGAAACTCGCCTTAAAGAAAAAAATTAGAACTATATATGGAAAAACACCAGAAACCAAAGCGTGACATCAATCCATAATATTTTGCATACCAAATTATTGAACTTAAAATGTTAATAAATAATAAATTATTTACTATGTTTCTTAACAACTGACCAAGCTTTTCATTAAAGAATGGTTGTTTTTTTTTGTACTTTGTTTACAGGATATTTACAGGCGGATAAATGTCATCTAATGATAAATGTCATGATAAATACATGAGATATAAATACATTTTCATATTTGAGGTTGTTTAGTTCTTCTTCCCATATTCAAAAAATGGATAGATGTTTTTATAGTGCTTGATATAGTTTATTACAAATTTTTATTATTATTCAAAGTGTATTTTTGGACACTATTTTAAGTCGGTCACTTTTACTCTTTTTTAAACTAGAAATTTTAAGAAATATCATAATGTAAAAGCAGATCAATATAGAGTAAGACTACATTTATTAAAACATGTAAAATATTATTTTTACTTGATTAAATTTTTGTCAGGGTAAAAGAGTTTTTTGTGTATCAAATTGAAAATTTACTAGTTTAAAACTTTATATATTAAACTAGTTTTAAAACTTTTAAAAATTCGATTTAAATGAGTTTTTTATTTTATTAGGAAGTCAAATAAGGATGTTTTTTGATATTAACTAAAAAGCCAATATTCTACTTAAGCCGGTCATTAATCTTCTATATAATATTGCCGAACTTAATAGTTTTAATAGTAGTAGTAGTAGTAGTGTCCCTTGGAGCGTATTTGACACGAAACCCTTGGCAGCCATTGCAACCGAGGTATTGGCAAGAAAGAGTCGCAGCACTATAAGAAAACGTGAACAAATATCTAAAGAACGTAAACTTTAAACTAAGTAATGTTAAAGCATATGTTAAAACATACTGAAACATTTATCACGTTTTACAGTTTGATTTTTACTTGAAAATTACATTGCGTCAACCTCTCCTTAATTTTGATTTAACATTTTTTTCCTCAAAAAAATTACTACATTATTAAAAAATCTACCCTTGGTGATATGCCGGTGTAGCTCGAGTGGATAAGGCGGCGAACTTCTGAACAAGGAACTATAGGTTCGACTCCTACCAAAGGCGGCTATTTTTTTTAATTTTTTTAATTATTTTAAAATACAAAATACTTTCGAAGTTTTATAAAGATTATATACAAACATATGTAACGTAACGATATTATGCACTCACAAAAGAAATGATTTTAAGAATGTGCTAAAACTTCATAAAACATTAAAAAAAAAAAAAAAAAAACATCACCAGGAGAAAAAATATGTTGCGTATCTATGATAATTGAGATACTTATGTTATTAATGTGCGAATGTAATTAGTCCTAATAAGCTGCGGATGGTCTGAAAAAAAAGTTGTCTGAAACTTAATAAAGAAAAAACTTAACAAGACAGCCCTGCTACTTCATAAGATGCTGCTGTGGAGGCAAAAAAAAAAAAAAGCCTGTAGCTAGATAAAACATTAAAACTTTCTTTTGACAATTAAAAGTTTATTTTGCTACATTAACTTTTTTACTATAAACATATGCAGCAACTGTTTTTCAAAACGCCTTAATATGCTTATGACGTAATTCGAAAAAAAACCCAATTAAAAATAAAATTATTTGGAAAAACTCTTCGTAAAACGTTTTTTGAAACGAATAACTTTTATTTAGTTTTTTTTTCTTTTGTGCAACTTTCTTTTCAATAAATTTCTTTACCTTTCAGAATATGACCATTTTTAACAATGCTATAGAAAAAATATCAGTAAATTGATTAGTAGTATTTCAATTATATTAATTAGATTAAATTATATATATTAAATTATATATTATATATATTAAATTAAATAGATAAATAAATTGATATTCAGTTTATACATGGGTATTTTTTTTTTTTTTATACTTAGTGACAAAATAGACTAATTAGATAAGTCGTTAAGTAGAATGCTAAGAATATATTTATGGCGGTTATTGTTGTTAAGGGTGATTAATAGGCAAATAAATTAAAAGCTAATCAGGGCTTTGAATAAATTATAAACTAATCAGGGAAGTTTTATTGGTAAACCTAATAAATAGGAAGATAACATATAATTCAGGTAGACATTGTTTTCACTTTTTCGCCAAACTTTGATATCCTTGATATTAAAAAATATGACCTTTCCAATAATTATAGATGGTAGTGTATTAACCTTTTTTTTCGGAACCACAATCCGTTATGATTTGTATTTTATCAATGTGAACGAAAGTCTATTCAAAATCTAAATATGTAAACTTTAAGTTCTTTAAATATCAATCAGTATAATTATAAAGTAGATGACATCAAATTCTACCGATTTATTTTTACTTAATAATTTCATTGCGACAATATCTCTTTATTTTAAAGCATTAAATGTTGTTTTTTAAAGTTTAATAAGTTTTCTGTTTATTAAATAGTGTGAAAAGATGATATAGCATTCCACAGCGATTGAAGTGCTTCGCTTCGGTTCAAAACCTTTTGCTTACACAATTTTTTTTTTAAATCCTATCCAGTTTTCTAGAAAACAAAGAAAAACAAGTTTAAATGCATATAGATGTTATACGCATTACATAAAAATAAAGATATAATATACTATAAGAAACCAAACGAAGAGAATTTTTTAAAACGTTTTTAAAAATTTTTAAAAACATAAAAACGCTGTTGGAAATTTGTTGCGCATATATCAGGAAAGAGATACTTATGTTTTAGGTAATTAGTTAAAACTGCGAGTTCAACACACATTAAAGAGATAAATTTCTTTCTTATATATATAAAAAAAAGGTTTTACATGCAATCTGAAATTTTTATTAAAACTAACTGGTCAAGAGTCCTAAAAAGTACGGAAAGGTGTGAAAAAAATAATTGTAATCTGAAAAAAATTTAGTTACTCCAGAAGGTGACAAACAGAAAACCCACAAAATTTCGCCTAATCCGCTAATAGAAATGCTCGAATATTAAGATATAAACAAATATTAAATGATTTTTGTATTACGAAACGTACGCCAACTCTTAAACCACTGTAAAACTATCTTGCGGTTATCTAATTAAATCCACCAAATCCGTTAATAAAACCAGTTTAATTCATAGATTCAAAACCATCTGATTTTTGTATTATGATATGTGCGCCAACTGTACTCTAAAACTAATAAAACTCGGCCATGTGGTCTTCATATCGATTATAACAATTGCAAAGCGAGGAACGACAAGTAAGTTGTATCTACAAGTTTAATTATTGTAATCTTCATTTTAAAAATTAAACTTATTTTATAATTACCATGTTAATATGTTTAAAGTTAATATGTTTTTGACCCAAGAATAAACATTAAGATTATTTTTGAGAAATGAGCAGCCAAGATACAGAAGGTATTCTTTTAATTTTGTATAACATTAATTAATTAAAGAGATAAAAAGAGATGATACGTCAATAATACTGAGATATTTAGCTTATTATTTTATTAAGAAATTACATTAAGTTAATTTTGTATATCTTTAGGCGACGAAGAAGTTTCTGCATTTTTTCGAAGTAAGCCATATATATATACTATATATAGTAGCAGTTACATATGTTCTAAAAGTGGCGGAGCTGTACTTGATTTACGGTGTGAATAAAACGATGATTTAATTTAGCCGTTTTTAATTAAAATCAACCAAGATATGCCGCCCTCCCCTAACCCCGTAAATCAAGTACACCCCCCTAAAATTTAACTAAAATTAAAAAATATAATAATTAATTTTTAGAACTTTAAAAGGGTGGACCCAAAACTCAGTTTTTGTTTATTCCGCTATTTTGATTGATGTTTTTGTAAAGCAGTGAACCTTAAAAACGCGTGTAAGCTTTATTTAAGGTGTTTAAGCTATAATTTTATAAAACGTGTTTAAGCTAAAATTGACTTTTAAGTCTTCTAACTATTTAACTTTTACGTAAAATGAAACTTTTTGTCATTTACTGAATGTGTTAAATTATAAAACTGTGCAACAGTTTTATAATTTAAGACAAATCTTATATGTTTAATTGAAAAAGTAAATATTTTGAAAGTTAATTTTGTCTATATATATATTAGATGTTCAAGAGATCAGAGCCGAAGAGCTCTTGCCAAGTAAGCTAACTTTGTATGAGAAAGATATGTTACAAAGATATATATTTCAATTTGTTAATTATAACTTTTTTTTAATGTTTAGCAGAAGTAATGGACAAGCTAAGTGAGGAATTTTGTTGTTGTTTTTTGTTTTTTTTGTGTGCAAATACATTTATGCTTTTTTAGTTTTTTTAAAGTTATTTAGCAACTGACTTTTGTCAGTTGTGACAGTTTGTCAGTCAGCAAGTGACTTTTGTAACTTTTAAATTTATTTTATTTAGAAAAATTAGAAGATTCTGTTGAGAATCTAATAAGCAATTTGTTATTGTTGTTGTAATGCTCTTTATTTTTTTTATTACATATTTATTTAACATAAAGTTATTCTATATTTGGCAAGTTAGTTTATTTTAATGTTTATAAGCTTTTCATTTTATTTAGAAAAATTAGAACATTCAATGGGTAAACAGAATTTGATTATATTACATTTGTGTATTATAGATAAAGATAAGCATTTTACTTTCAAAAAAAAAGGTGTATTCTATGGTCTTTTAGCTTTTTTGATACAATTTTTAGCATTTTTTTTATAGGGCTTATATTTCAACAACTTAGTAAGTTACTATATTGTTCTTGTGGATTGTTTTTATTATTTTTATTTTTTATTTTTTTTGTCGCTTTTTTCTTTTTTGGTTTGTTTTGTGATTGTTATTTTTGCCTTTTGTTTTGTTCCAACTTTATTTATAGATTTCCTAAAGTTGACAAATATTCTGCATGTTAGTTTCTTTCCTAATGTTAATAATTTTTTTTATTCTATTTAGAAAATTTAGAAAATTCAATTGGTAAGCAAAGTACACTTATGTTTCTTTTTGTTTAATTTTAACACACATTTTTTGATGTTTGTGTGCGGTTTTATCACTCTAAAATAAACTGTTTAATTGATTAGTATATGTTAGTTTATATTCACTATAGCGTCATCTGCAGTACCGTCAGGTAATGTGTTTTGCATTCTTATGCAGTTTTAAGAGTGTTATGTGTGTTAAAACTTAAAGATAGCATATCTTAATTTACAGATTACTTTATTTATTTGTTTTTTTGTCTCTACATTAGCACCTCAAGCAATAATATCAGGTAATCTGTTTAGCATACTTATGCAGTTTTATGGGTTTTATGTGTATTGAAACTTAATCATTATTGTTTTCATGCAATTACATAAATGTTTAACATGTGTTACTTTATACACTTTTTTTTTTTTTTTACTTTTACAATAGCATCAATATCATCTGCAGTACCATCAGGTAATGTGTTTTGCATACTTATGCAGTTTTATGGGTTTTATGTGTATTGAAACTTAAACATTACTTTTTTCATATTTGTTATCAATTAGATAAATGTTTAAAATATGTTACTTAATACCCTTTTTTTTTTTTTTTTACCTTCACAATAGCATTAATATCATCTGCAGTGCCATCAGGTAATGTGTTTTGCATACTTATGCAGTTTTATGAGTGTTATGTGTATTAAAACTTAAAGATAGCATATGTTAATTTACAAATTACTTTATTTATTTATTTTTTTGTCTCTACATTAGCACCTCAAGCAATAATATCAGGTAATCTGTTTAGCATACTTATGCAGTTTTATGGGTTTTATGTGTATTGAAACTTAGGCATTACTGTTTTCATGCAATTACATAAATGTTTAACATATGTTACTTTATACACTTTTTTTTTTTTTTACCTTTACAATAGCATCAATATCATCTGCAGTACCATCAGGTAATGTGTTTTGCATACTTAGGCAGTTTTATGAGTGTTATGGGTATTGAAGTTAAACATTACTTTTTTCATGTTTGTTATCAATTACATAAATGTTAAACATATGTTACTTTATACACTTTTTTTTTTTTACTTTCACAGTAGCATCAATATCATCTGCAGTACCATCAGGTATTGATGTAATTTAATGCAAAACTTAAAGATTGCATATCTTAATTTGCACATCACTTTATTTCTTTATTTTTTTGTCTATACATTAACACCTCAAGCAATAATATCAGGTAATCTGTTTAGCATACTTATGCAGTTTTATGAGTTTTATGTGTATTGAAACTTAAATTTTTTTAAATGTGTTTTGCATGCTTATGCATATTTATGAGTGTTATGTGTATTAGAACTTAAACATTACTTTTTTCGTGTTTGTATGCAATTACATAACTGTTTAATATATGCGTTTGTTTATATACTTTTTTATTTATTTCTGCAATAGCAACAGTATCAACTGCAGTACCACCAGGTAATGTGTTTTCCATACTTATGCAGTTTTTCCGTATTTATGCAGTGTTATGTGTATTGAAACTTAAACATTACTTTTTTCGTGTTTGTATGCAATTACATAACTGTTTAATATATGTGTTTGTTTATATACTTTTTTATCTATTTCTGCAATAGCAACAGTATCAACTGCAGTACCACCAGGTAATGTGTTTTCCATACTTATGCAGTTTTTCCGTATTTATGCAGTGTTATGTGTATTGAAACCTAAACATTACTTTTTTCGTGTTTGTATGCAATTACATAACTGTTTAATATATGTGTTTGTTTATATACTTTTTTATTTATTTCTGCAATAGCAACAGTATCAACTGCAGTACCACCAGGTAATGTGTTTTCCATACTTATGCAGTTTTTCCGTATTTATGCAGTGTTATGTGTATTGAAACCTAAACATTACTTTTTTCGTGTTTGTATGCAATTACATAACTGTTTAATATATGTGTTTGTTTATATACTTTTTTATTTATTTTTGCAATAGCAACAGTATCAACTGCAGTACCACCAGGTAATGTGTTTTCCATACTTATGCAGTTTTTCCGTATTTTTGCAGTATTATGTGTATTGAAACCTAAACATTACTTTTTTCGTGTTTGTATGCAATTACATAACTGTTTAATATATGTGTTTGTTTATATACTTTTTTATTTATATCTGCAATAACAACAGTATCAACTGCAGTACCACCAGGTAATGTGTTTTCCATACTTATGCAGTTTTCCGTATTTATGCAGTGTTATGTGTATTGAAACCTAAACATTACTTTTTTCATGTTTGTATGCAATTACATAACTGTTTAATATATGTGTTTGTTTATATACTTTTTTATTTATTTCCATAATAGCAACAATATCTGCAGGACCATCAGGTAATCTGTTTTGCATACTTATGCAGTTTTGTGGGTGTTATGTGTATTTGTGTAGGTATATATGAAATTTAAACATTGCATATCCTTATTTTTACATTACTTTATTTTTTTTTTTTTTTTGTCATAACTTTTTTTTTTTGAAGTCTAAATAGTTTTAGATAATATTTTTATTGGTTGTTTTGTGCAGTATTCTATTCAAATTTATTTCTTTTTTTGTTTTTGTTTTTTAGCATCGCATCAAGATTTCCTGCAATATCGCTCCCAGCACCCAGGTCCAATATCTTCAAGAGCTTTTTACCGGTGGAGTCAATACGGGGGAGATGATCCCTCCTTTAGATGGAGGAGACAAGCCCCATATGACACCACTGGTAGAAGGAGGGGTGCTGGAAAGCGGTTTAACTCTTTTAATTTCTACCAGTAGCTTTTTTAAACTACTGGTAGAATTATCTTTTTTTTTATTCATAAAGAAAATTGAATTTTTTAAAAAATGTTTTTTTTAATTTCGCAATTTTTTATTATTTTAATTTATATACTTTTACTATTTTATTTTTTTGATTTTTAATTCTGTTTTTAAATCCTAAACTAACAAAGAACTCTTATGTTATAAAAGTTTTTAATAATTTGTCTATAAGTTTTTTTATTAATTTACATTTTTACATCTTTTTATCCTCATTTTTAATTTTAATAATACTAAATTTTCTTTTGTATTAACTTTTATTTGTTAAGTGTTATATAGTTTTTGAAAGATTGGGTAAATATATTTAAAGTTTTTCTTTTTCTATGATATCTGTTTAATATGTCTAATATATGCACTATACACATATTAATCTCTTTACATATATTATAATTTATTCTCTTTAGATATATTATAAAATAGTATTTAAAATCAGTTGTCAGCCACATGTGGTCTATATGATGCAACATGTTTGCAATTGTTGGCATGTCATTTAAAAATATGTAACTAATTTTGCTTTTCAATATTACCATTAATATAACTTTTAAAATAATAAAATTTTTTATTTGTTTCAAAAAATACTGTTTTATTACTTACAATATAGTATGTTATTACAAGATACTTCTGGCTTTTTCTCTGTTTCAAACCAGTTTAGTTATATCTTTTGTTCACAAATTTTATTAGACGCTATACACATAGTTTCATAGGTTAAAACTGATAAATAGCACTTTATTGTTTTTGTTCATTTTAGATTAGTATAGCAAAAAATTATTAAGATAAAGTTTTATCAAACATAAATAATTTCTCAATTATGTCAAGTAACTTAAGAGCTGAAAATAGAAGAAATCGTCGAAATGAAAGAAATGAGGCCAGACGAGAAGAAGTTAATCGTTGCCAAAATGAGAGAAATAAGGCTAGACGAGAAGCAATTAATCGTCGCCAAAATGAAAGGAATGAGGCTAGGCGAGAAGAAATTAATCGTCGCCAAAATGAAAGGAATGAGGCTAGACGTGAAGAAGTTAATCGTCGCCAAAATGAAAGGAATGAGGCTAGACGTGAAGAAGTTAATCGTCGCCAAAATGAAAGGAATGAGGCTAGACGTGAAGAAGTTAATCGTCGCCAAAATGAAAGGAATGAGGCTAGACGTGAAGAAGTTAATCGTCGCCAAAATGAAAGGAATGAGGCTAGACGTGAAGAAGTTAATCGTCGCCAAAATGAAAGGAATGAGGCTAGACGTGAAGAAGTTAATCGTCGCCAAAATGAAAGAAATGAGGCTCGACGAGTATTATTTAGGCGTGGAATGCATTGCATAGCAAGAAATAATTTTTTTATAGAGAGTAATTACCTAGGAGAAATGAACCATAATT